TTCTCATACTGAAGTCTTGAACCTGACAAAGTCAGCCTTTGTAGCATTAGCCTTCTCACAGGGCACAGTACACCAAAAGTGGTCAAAACCAATAAAGTAAGAAGCAACCATTTTGTTGTTCCTTTCCCAACACAAAATACATATGTCCATCAAAGACATCTGTAGATGTCTGCATCTGAACTAGGCAACAGAGAAAAAAAATACATATTTAGAGATTGCCTTACTTATTTTATACCTACTTTAGGAATAGACTACTTCATTGACCAGATTTTCACCTACTTCTGAATGGAACCAAGTTCTGTTATAAAAGTCTCTTTGATTAAATTTCCTAAACACAAGTGTCTAGATCTATCTGACCAGCAACTACCTCCCCTGAATGGTGCTTGTTTCTTTTAAGTCTTGTTTGTCAACACCATAACAGTGTCTCAGATATCCCAAGACATCTTAAGTAATACTAGACATTACACTTAGCTGACCAAATTAATTATCACTTGTTTACTAATATTTACTTAGGCAAGTTGAATCTGCATTCATTTTCCTCTTCTTAGGATGCTTTCTCTTAGCTTTCATACCATCAGAAGAATATTGCTGACTAATGAGGTACAAAGCATCTTGGATAATGGTTTTAACCAATAAATTATTTAGACTACAATGTATAATATCCAAAAGAGAAACTTGAAACTAATTAAAATTTTTTTAATTTTTAAAAATTAAAATTAATGAAAAGCATTGTGCTAGAAAATCTATTTTTCAGCATAATTTTGTCATAAGTTAAATAGCTTTTCTGAGGGAAGTCTTATAAACTTTATGATATTTCTGACATTAAAACATCTAGCGTTTAGAAATTGTCAACTAATGCTTGCTTTACCTCTTGCCATTTAACTTAATTCTATTTGGTTCTTCCATTATTATATTTTCCAACAGTAGTTACAGAAGGCCTGGAAATTTCAGGTGAATAACAGATGATTGTCCCAAAATAGTCTGCCAACTGTCCTCCCCTGCAATCCAGGTGTTGCCAATACAATTAATGGGAGATATTTTTGTGCAGAATTTGGACAATTTAGTTAAGTTCTTGACAGACAACTAAGCAATAATTTTGCACAATAAGCAGCACCTTAAGTCCACATGCTGTAAAAATAATTAATGGGCAACTGAATTAGCAACACAAACAAATATGATCTAGGAAAAAAAATGTTTATTACTATTTTTGAAGATAAAAAATTGTAATTTAATAGCAAAATTAGATTGGCTTATAGAAAATTCACAGCCAGCCTTCTCTCTGAAATAAGTTGAAAAGATAATTTTCTCATAGAAAACCTTTCAGGTTTATATAGTCATACACTGTAGAGCAGCATCATGTTGTTAATTTGTACTTGATGAAGATAATTGATGAAGAGACTAAGCAGGGGTCTCCACACCCTCTGTTGGCTGCAAAAGAGACTGATGTTTCTGCTGGAATGCAAGCTGGATGTCTATTTTGGGAACATATCCATGGTGGGGCTCAAAGCAGAAATCTTCAGACTGCAAATTCATATAATGCACACCAGAAATTCACATTTATTCTTTTTTCTTCTGCCACACAGCAGTAAATAAATATCCCAGCTTGATTTTATCATTTTTTCAACATCATCCTATATTTTTTGCCAAGAAAAAAGTCTGTTTTCCTCCATGTTAGGAAGGGACTCATAATCAAGCTTGAGTAACCTGTATCCCACAGTCCTCAGGAAAATCTGGTTATTTGAAAGTATGGAAAAATCTGTCTAAAATCTGTCTAGTGATGTCAGTGTCACAATAAGAGAGCTTGTACACAGTACAAATTTAAAAAATAATTATTAATTAAAAAAAAAAACAAAGGGTTTGCTTTACATTCTTGCACTATTTTTTCCACTTGTGAGCATACTCAGAGCACTGAAGTAATGGAATTGATCTGGGAGATCAATGTGTAATGCTAAGACCAAACATGCAGGCCACAATTTTAAATATCCCTTTCTGTCAGAGTACCTCTTTCTGTGGAATAGATTAATGAACTTATAGGTAAATCATGTATCATATATTAATTTCCTGTGAGTAAAACACTTATAATTGTTCTAGTTCAAAAGATTTTAATTTAGGGCTATTGTGTTTTTAATATGGATTTTCATTGTATTCTCAAGTATAAAGTATTCTCACTGGAAATAAGCTATATATTCATGATAAACCATATATGTGGTTTTACTGATCATGATGATTTAAGAATGTGAAACTACAAAGAATTACCAGTAGGTTAGCAAGAACATGAAATTGCATTGGCTGTTCTGTGATTTTTGCCTTGATACTAATTCTTATTGCAGTATACAGAAAGGTAGCCACATTCTTTATTGAGGAGTAAAATGGCTTGTTTTTATCATGTAGCAAAACTATGCATATAAGCATCCAACTGAAACAGACAATATACAGAGGACTTCATTTAGCTCCTTGTTCCTATTCATACATTATGGTACAATACAACTTTCTCTTGCAGGTGACTAGAGTTAATTATGTTTGAGCCTATCTGTTTATCTACAGTCTGTCATTGTAGGTGAGTAATACACATCTATATTTATAAATGAGTATACATTTTATATTTCTATATATATAAGAGATGCTTTATATAGATTATGTTATCAACATTTCCATTTCAATCTCCTATATTTAAGAATTTATAAATCAGTGATAGAAAGTTTTGCCAGCCTGAAACTTAGATGTGTCATCAGCCCAGGGAAGATATTCATTAACAAATTAAAAAAAAATAAAAAATGCTGTGAATTCACTCATATTTTTAACAATCTGAAAGTACAGAATAGATGTTTCATTGGGTGTAGATTTTTTTTAGTGATATTCTCCTATCTTTTGAAAATGTTTATTTTTAAAAGAACTTTTAGTTTTGGACAACAATTTTAAGTGCTTACCAATGACTTATTTATTTTCTTATTTTTTGCTAATAAAACTTTTGACTGTTATGAACATTTGTAGATGAAGTCTTGTTAAAAATACAAGAGCTTGGAAACAGCCAATCCAGTCTAGAAAACTGAGTCAGAGATGGGAATGCCAAATCACTGTTCACCTGTTATGATGTCATAGAGAAGCCAGAAGTTTCTTCTAAAGATATTTGGACACCTTAAGTGAGATCTACCAGTGTCTGTGCATCTGTGTCTTTGTGAATCCACCTACATGTGATTTGGGTTGTTGGTGTTGTGGTGTTTTGTTTTTGTTTTGTTTGTTTGTTTTTGTTTTTTACACACACTTCCACTTAGGTAGGTCTCATACTATGTCCTCCTTCTTAAACATAAAGTATATTATAGAATCATAGAATCACATAGTGGTTGAGGTTGGAAGGGACCACTGGAGGTCATCATCTGGTCTGAACACCTCTTCTCAAGCAGAGACACCCAGTGAAGATTGCCCAGCACCATGTCCAGGTGGTTTTTGAAGATTTCCTGGAAGGGAGACACCATAGCCTCTCTGGACAACCTATGTCAGCGTTGCATCATCTGCACAGTGAAGAAGTGTTTCCTGATGTTTAGATGGAACGTCTTGTGTTCTAGTCTGTGCCCATTGCTTCTTGTTCTGTCATGGCACCACTGAAAAGATCCTGGGTATGTCCTCTTTGCACCCTCCCTTCATGTATTTATAAACGTTGGTAAGATCTACTCTGAGCCTCCTCTTCTCCAGGCTGAACAGTTCCAAGTATCATTCAACAGTTTTTGATGTAAGTTTCATTAATACACTGTTACATTATAAGTATTAACAAGTAGAATGATGCGTTCCACCCTGTTTGAAATGTTTGTGACCATACTCTGAGCTACTAGAACACAAGCCAGATCTGGTTTAGACACTGAACCTAGTGTTCAACCTCCTAAGTAAAGCACATTAAGTAGGATAGAGGAGACATGGGCCTGAAACCTTTGATCCAAAGCTAATCATACTCAGCCAATGCAGAGCATGAATAAAACAAGCCCACATAGACAGAACCAATAATGTTTTTGAATATGAGTGTATTCCTAAGGCTAACAGAGACCCTATTACCTGATGAACTTGAAAACCAAGACAACAGTAGTGGAATTACTTTGCCACAGGGACACATAAAAGAATTTTACTTTGGAGCCTTTTCTTTTTAAATTGTATGGTAAAAACAATGGGAAGCAAGAGACATGAAAAGCAATGGCTTCAAAACAAAACTATTCAATGTAATGAAATAAACAAGCAGGAAAACAATGACAGATTGTAACGCGAGACAGAAAAATGAACTGGAGAACAGAAACAGAAGGTTAAGATCTTATTACACAATAATACATTACTATATAATGAAGGAGAACTGAGAAAGAAGAAGAGGAAGAAGAGGAAGAAGAGGAAGAGGAAGAGGAAGAGGAAGAGGAAGAGGAAGAGGAAGAGGAAGAGGAAGAGGAAGAGGAAGAACAAAGTCATCAAATTACTATTGTTCAGGAGAGCTTTATTGTCTCCTCACTTCCCTCTCCCAGCTGTATAGATTCAATTCTGATCATTTGTGACCATAAAAAATTTAATGCTAGTTACTTGTTACATTCTATGGTCTATTGAGGTCTGTAAAGAAATGGTGTGTGTTTAATACATCAGAAGAAAGGTACCTAGAGATCACCTGTCAATCTCAGTGGGTTTATCCTACATCCAGAATGTGTATGTAGACCTAGATCAAATCCACATGTAATTTTATGTGCAGAATATAATTAGCTACACAACCATATTGACAAACATTTTTAGTACATAGCTTATGTGAAACTGCAGCTCCTAAGATCATTCCTTAAAAAATACTTGTATTTTAAGAGTTAGTTACTCATATTAGGTGTCAAAGCTGTTGTTCACAATTTCATCTCCCAGCAACGAGTCTAAAGAACAGTAAAAACTAAACACAGAAAAGTCTTCTTCAATCCTCTGTGTAGATATATGCCTAGGAATGGAAGAGAAGATAAATAGAGAACAAAAATAATACTTGGTCTTCACCATACCTGAGGGTAGCTGTCAGTCCTTGGAAGAACAGATATATCATAAGTGGCAGCAAAATGGCTCTTAGCTTGCTGGATCTGACCATAACGTTCTCTTTTCCTCCATTTTGCTCTTCGATTCTGGAACCAAACCTAGAGTAAACAAGAAGATAATTATGAAGATAAACTTATTTACATAGTTTGCAGAGTCATTAAAAAAAAAAAAAAAGTTCATGAATTTCCTGTAGTTCCTGTTAAAATTTAATCTTCTCAGTGTTAAGTTATCTCTAGATATTGAAAAAAAATATGTTAAAATATGTTACTTCCTATCTACTGTCTTTGAAAAAAAAATAGGCAAAAGAATAATCAGATGACCAGGTAGTGCTAATTTTGCCAGTCAGCTCTTTAATGAAAAATCTGAAAGTAGTAGTAAGTTGCATTGTAAAGAGACTTTCTCTTAATTTCACAAGACCACTGACTTGATATGACTACCTGTGCTCTGTCTCCTAGAGGTACATGTAGACTTTATCAAAGGCTATAATGAAAAGGCAGGAAATGCTAGCACAAGTCAATGCTACAGAAGAGTTTCTGTAACCAAAGGTTACAGCTAACAGTGAAGAAAGATGAAGAATCATGATATCATAGACAGTTTAAAACTACTGTGACATTTTTCACATTTGTATTAGGAAATATCTATGTTTCCAACAATGGAAGAAACACTTCCATTTAGATTACACTTTACATTTAGATTACAACATAATTTCATTTTGAAACAATGTCTACATGTCAACTAAAAGTTGCCTTCTTGATGCTTATATAACCTTTGAACTGTTCTATAATAAATTAGGTATTGTGTGTTATTTGAAAATTTATTATATGCACATTTCTTGCTTTGACTGGTATCTGTCATCATCCAATGGTCTTCAACATTTTTTTATTTCAAACAGTTTAGTTTGATGAGTCTTAATTCAAGACTCATCTTGAATTAAATAAACTGCTAAGACAAGTACCTGTTCCTTTATGAAAGTAATATATAACTAAGTCTTTAGTGCTCAGCAAATTAATTTTGATTTTTTTAAAAGAAGTCACACTATTAACATTTTTTTTTATGGAAACATTATCATTGACTAGTCTCCCTTTTAAATGAATGGTGAACCCATTTGAACAGATGCCTATATTAATGGATTTTTTTTATTATTATTATTTTTTGGTAAACAGCACCTGTGAACATCATTTTGAGGGAGTTTCTGATCCTTGATGGTAGAATATTAAAAATAACACTATTTGTTTTATAATTCACTTTTTATCTTGATCTCTTGGAGAACTTTATTTTGATGCTCCTTAAGCAACCAGAGCATAATTTTGTTTATTTTAATTCTCAAGGACTCATGGCAAATTTAGTACGTGCAATCTTTTAAAATGCACTCAGCAATCCAAGCAAGGCCCATGCATGTAACTGCTGAGTATATATTGTTAAGGACCTTGTTGGTAAATTTGTATTATTTATTATGCCTGAGGCTCAGCAAAAAGAAAAGGGGAAAAAAATCTCCTGTCTCCACAGGAGGCACCAAGAACACACTAAGGGAATTTAGTAATGAGGCTCTTTCATTGAAAAAAGACCTTGACAATCTCCTTAAAATGGGTGCCAATTACTTCACTGACATGAAGCAGGAAAGGGAACAAGTTAGATAAATTAGGTTCAGGTTGGCTCTCTCTGCATGTATGCAGAATAAATATTAAACTGGATATTGATGAAATGGCAGTGAAGGGAAATGTGGGTAAGGCATCCAGCTGATCACTCTGCTAAACTAAATCAAACAATTTGCTTGAATTTATAGGGACTAAAGGAGAAAAGCACTTTTTTTTTTTTCCTTTGACAATCCCCCAAAATGTTTCTGTTTACATCACTTTACTAGAAACTGACTCTTGGCAGAGATAAAGTAACCATTTGCCTCCACAAAGTAATGTAAAAATCTGCTGCTTGTTATCCTTGCATTGCCAGATGCTTGCCTCTAATGATGTAAGGCCTTTAAAATTGCTTAATCTTGTGATGGAATACTGTTGCTACTCTGGATAAAAATGATCACCATTTCCCTTCATATTTAGTGTATGAGAAATGCAAAGATCGGTTATATTTTAAGAAAGGGGAAAATATGTAAATGAAATAGAAGTAGATATTATATGAAAGACTGGAGCAGACATTTATGTTTTAATATTTACCCTCTTGTTTCTAATACTTTTAGCATATGAGGATTCTAAAACTTTGAGAACAATGTGAGGGGAAAAAAAAAAGACAAATTTAAGTCTTATTCTCCTCTCCCTGTTCTGCCTATTAACTTATTCTTGAAGTATTTCTCATGATTACAGAATTATGCAATTGTAAGAGCATAAATTTAATATTATGCAAGGTTGGTTTTGTTTGTTTGTTTGTTTGTTTTTAAGTCATGAGTAAAGCCTAATGAATAGAAGTCATATTTGGAAAATTGTCCCAAATTCAGAGGGAGAGGGATTGCACAGAGCCCGAAGAGTTAAAATGCTATTGAACTAAGTTCCATTGGCATCACTGATGTTGTATCGATGTAACTGACAGATGATTTTGGACTGTTTTCAGATGACAACAGTGTGTATGCCATCTGGTTGAACAGACATGAAAAGGACACTTATTTATAAAATTAAGTAATGGGATTTCTTTCTGAAAGTGATCCTGGTTTAATTTCAGTTGTATGTATGTGCGCTAATGTCTATTTCTCTATATGCATGTATGCATTTAATTACAACTTGTGAAGTTGTTATCATATTCAAGTCACTAAATTAAAAGAATTAATCTCAGTTGGTATGAATCTACAGGACTCCTATTCCCTAAACTGAAGTGATGAGTATTAACAGAACAGGGAAGATCTCTTAAAATATGATGAACTTGCAAAATGCAGTTAACACCTTTTTCTAAGGGAGATTCTCTTAATGGGGGAAGGGTTGCTTTTCCTGGGTATTCTAGCTTCTTTTATCACCATTAAACACCCAAAGTCATAAATCATAAACGTCAAAGTCATATGCATAATGAATGAATCATCTTTCAGTTAGAAAGCTCAAACACTGAAATTAATGTACACCAACATGTATTGATCCAAAAATTAGAATAACATTATTTGTTGAGTATTCAAGTTTAAAAACAAGCAAACGCATTTCCCAATTTTGCTAGCTTTAAGCATTCACATGAGATGAGAGGATTATGTCTCTGTCATACACAGACATCGCATGCAATCGCATACACAAGCACTCACACACACATACATTTATATATGTGCAGCTTCATTGCTTACTCTTTGGAATAAACAAGGAATTTGATTGCTTTTTAAATTTCTGTTTTTCATACTGCAACACAAACTCTGCAGCAGAGTTCTGCATCATTAACCATCTGAACTACATAAAACATATCTCTTTAATGGGATTTTTACGCATTAACACTATGCATTCACTGAATGCATAAACTACATAAAATTCTGACAGTAAAGAACAACCAAAGATGAAGACTACTTTCATGTTGATATCATTTTCTCATCTTTTAAACAAATTTCTAGAACAGCAACACAAACTATTAAAAATAATAAGAAGAACAAATTATTTTAGCACAGTAATATAGCAGCTTATGTCTAAAAGAAATAAAGCAAAATCATCTATTTACATTAGCTTTATGGGCTTTTGCACAATCCCCAAGAAGTGCCACTTATCACTTCTTACAATGAAGAACTTGCCATGGAAATGCTGGAATTTGGTTCCTACCTGTACTCTGGCCTCAGTGAGCTCTGTTCTCAGAGCTAGTTGTTCCCTTACATAGACATCAGGGTAATGGGTTTTCTGGAATACTTTCTCCAGTTCCTCCAGCTGCAAACTGGTGAAAGTTGTTCTGTGTCTCCTCTTCTTACTGCTGGAGACATTGCTGTCACATTTATCACCAAGTTCATCCAGTTCCCCCTTCTCCTGCATCCCTTTCACCGGAGACATCCTGAGATTGTTGCAATTGTCCAAGGGACTGTTCAGCTCTGCATGAAGAGGCTGTCCTTCCACTTTAGTAATCCCATAGTTCACTGTATACAAGGTGGGGGAGGGAAATAACTGGTTAAAAGGGGAGCTTTAGGTTGAAGGTTTCATACAAAACAGTGTCATCAAGTACCAGATCCTGTATCTACGTGTATTCCCATATGAGATGGAGGAAAAGGACTCTGCATTAATGACAAATAGAATAAAAGTACTAAATCACTAAATTTAAACTAAAAAAATGTGTCTAAAAATATCATATAAAATCTTTCAGTATAAAGAGACTACTTGAATATATTACTCTGCCAGTAAAGTAGGTAATAATCCATGAAATCAGATTCAACTTGAGTTGCACAGATAAGATGCCTTAGCCCAAAACAAATTTTCATATAAGTGGTACAAAGCTATTGGCAAATGTACCTTTAAGCTTGGAAGCAGATAAACAAGGCTTGCTCTATTTCTATGAAAATGCAGAATAACTTTAGAGTAAACTAAATAGCTGGAAACTGACAAATTAAGAAGCAAATGAAACTGAAAATCAACCTCACTTTACAAACTCAATAGATTCCACATATCTTCTCCTGGATTTGTAAAGTGGAATTGTTTCCAATTAAGTTTGTTATGGTTAGAAAATGCAGAGAGTTTCTGCAAAATGTTAACTTGTTAAAAGAGATCGTTTCAAATACTTTGCATAGGGATCGCAGGAACTTTTTCTCTTTATGTAAAATCTGAGTCGTAGAGATAAGAAATATTTCTCGGTAGCTTTTTAATACGAAATGAAAATGTTTTCTATTTTTCTATTTTTACGTATCTCACATCAGTGAAAAAAAAAATCATGCAGTAAATTACAAGATTCAAATGGGCTTTTTTTTTTTCTTTTTAATCCCAGAAACAGACAAAAAAAAATGAAACCAAAATTTACAAAGATGTCATATAACATGCGATAAGGGGCTTGCTTTGGAGGGTTTTTTTGTTTGTTTGTTTTTCTCGCATTCTTAATAATTTATTTACTTTCACTCAGAGGTGATTTGAACAAAACAGAAATTTTATACACTTACCATCAATACATACATAGGTAGTAAATGCCCCAAAGCCCCCAAGGCACACATTAAATGAGCTAATTAAGAAAAACTTCAATGGGCAAATCAATTTTCTGCAGTTTTTCGAAGTTGCACTTGCAGAAATCTGTCATTATTTCTTACAGACTGTTTCATCCAAAAAGGATGTTCTCAAAAAAATATATATAAAAAATCAATACCTATATGAAGTCAAAAAATGTAAGGTATTGTTAGTCTATTGTTAGTCTCATTATTGCAGCTGATTTTAACCGTATTTCCGACTCTGCTGGGATGAACTTTTAAAATTATTATTTTTTTTCTAAACATGAATGACATCATGGTGGAATAATGGGAGGATTTATAAACTATATAAAATAAAATATTCCACGTTCTCCTTTGTCGAACAGTTAGAAAATTTATTATTATTATTATTATTATTATTATTATTATTATTATTATTATTATTATTATTATTATAGTAACAATACACTGACGTTTGAATTATCACAATCGTTTTCAGTCAGTATGAAGAATCATACGTTATGTCGGTTGTGCATTATTCGGTAGCTCAGCAAAAAAAATCATATCAATAACAGAGGTAAATCCTATAACCGCGGAGCGTTACTGGGCAGAACCAGACGTGACCAAACGACCCTCGGGTTTCATCCCGTGCCGGTACCGCACCGAGACAGCGCGTTCCGTGCTCGCGACGCCGCCGTCCCCGAGCCCCAGGGCTGCGTTTTCCGGAGTTTTGCCGGGGGGAAGCGGAGCCCGCCCGGCCGCTGTTTGTAGCCGGAGCTGGGATCACCGCACGCCGGCCCCGAGCCCCGGAGCGGCACGGGCGGGAAGCCCGATCCCGGTCCCGATCCTGATCCCGATCCCGATCTCGGTCTCTTTTCCTTCCCGTCCCTTTCCTCCCCGCCGGCGAGCCGTGCCCCTTGCTCGGCGCTGCACTCCCAGCGCCGAGGTGCTCCGGGGGCACAGCCGAGGGACCCTGCCCGGGGCCGGCAGAGAGGGAGGGCAGCAGCCAGGGGGGCGGCACTGAGCGGCAAAGAAGGCTTCCGAGCGAGCGGTCGCCTTTTCCTGCTTTTAGATCATTTCTGTTATTGTTGTTATCACGATTATTATTATCATAATTCTGTTATTATCATCATCATTGCCATTGCCCTTATATGTTATTAGTATCATTTACCTGGTAGCGCCTCACATGCCAGCACCATGCCAGCACTGCATGGCTGCCTCTGGTCTCCTCGGGCAGGAGAACCCCCAGACTGTCCAGCACATCTCCAGGAAGGGCGAAGCAGAGGAGCGAGAATAACCCTGGGGTGAAGACTTACCGTTATTGTCCTGGCAGGGTGATGTCCTGTCCAGCCTCACATGATGCTCAGCCCTTTGCAGAGGGTTGAAGGCCTGCACACATTTGCTGCCTGACGTTTTGCTATAAAAGGACTCATTGTCCAAAGTTTCCATAACGTGCTCCAAAGTACCTCCTGCTCCCATGTAAAAGTCACTGTTTTTGCTCGGCTGACTCTTCAGGGCAAACTTCTCGCTCAGAAAATCCATAATCATCTAAGGCTGCTTGAGAGCCTCTTCCCTAGACAGAGGCTGGACTGTGAGGAGGGGAGGGAGAGCGGGTGAGTGGATAGGAGGGAAGGAAGGAGGGAGGGAAAGACTTTCAGAGCTCAGGGAGCTGTTTTGCCTCTGAACCTTTGATTTGTCTTGTCTTGAAAGGGGGAACCCGAAGTTGCTTTTATATCTTGAAGCTCAGCAGGGATCCTTATGCAACCTCCCATTTCTAATGAATATGAAAATAGGCAAGCATTGTAACTCCACCCCAGGTCCCCCAAGACCTAATCCCAACACAGGAGGGAGTTCCAGGCCCATTTTCGACAGACAGATCCGTTTCAGACGGACAGACACACACAGGCGTGCGGGGAGGGTGAGGGGAGACAAGGAGGGAGGAGGGACGGCACACGGAAAGGACATTTCCCTTCTGCAACGTATACGCATTTCTCTAGGGATCCTGAAAAGAGAGTAATCCCGGGTTGCCCTCCCTCTTCCCCCAAATCCCCGGGAGGATCATGTCAAGGTAATTTCTGGGGCACATACCCTCAAATAAAGAATTTTCTTTAATCGATCCAACTGGTAACTGCAGTCCTGCTCTCTGAAACTGTAAAATTAAGAACCAGCTTTCCTTCTTTATTAAACTCAGAAGTTTGGTCCTAAATTAGAAGAGAGAAAGAAATTTGGAGGGTGTTGTTCGTGTAGTGGGAATGGAGAATAGAGGAACTTAAAAGCAAAAGTCGCTCACTTCACAAGCTGGCCTGAAGGAGAATGTGGGAATGTGTCTGCTATCGAAAAGACCTCCAGTCCTCCTCTGTGTGCATGTGCGTGTGTGCATGTGTGTGTGTTGTGTGCGTGTGTGCATGAGGCGGTTAAAACAGAAAGTAACAAAACAGAATCTTAACTAATAAAAAGAAATGAACCGTATATGCGTGCATTTCTATGGATATTGAAAAAGTGGGTGGTTTTCACCCAAAGTATGAGCTTTGAAATGTTAAATTCCTTGATCCTTTTGCACATGGACAGGATTTAAAACACAGATGAGAGAGGAGGAACGTTTAGAAAAGTCCCAAGTTACACAAAAGACTTGCTTCATGCTTCCTGGTGAAAGAAAGCTTACTCTCATATTCATTAGAGTAAGGTAAAAAACAGTTCTGCGATCTGTCCAGATCAGTATTACAGCATCGTGGGCCCGAGTTTGTCCTAATGAAAGCTATTTCAGAAATGAGTTTGAAGGGCCCTTCCCCCATGTGGTGGAAGAAGAAACGAAGCTTTAATGAGCAGTTGAAGTGTACAAGTGTAGGTGCGGTAATGGCCAGCCAGGGCTGCTGAGACTCTTAGAGACCTTTCCTGTGAACCCAGCCAAAGGTGAAGAGAAGGCCAGTTCAGGTCTCGTGTACTTCCCAGCTCCTTCTTCAGGTGATCTTTAGCCTGTTTTGGTTTGTTGTTTGTTTGTTTTGTTTTGTTTGTTTGTTGTTTTGTTTTGTTGTTTTTGTTTTGTTTTGTTTTGTTTTCTGGAGAAAGAGCAAAGCTAGACGTGCGTGCTTGAGCGATTTCTCCCCACCGCCCCATCAAGCAGCTGCAGGCATCGCCCGGCGCGCACACGCACAGGCACAACCTGCCCTTGCTTCCCAATGAGCCCGCAGCGCCGGCGGCCACCCCCGCCCCTCCGCCCCGTTTCGCGGCGCTGCGGCCTCCTCCGACACCCCCGGCGGCCGCCCTTCGGCCCCCCCGGCCCGCGACCGACCCGCCGAGGGATGCGCGGGGGAGCGCAGAGACGGCCGCTGGAGGATTTGGGGCTGCTTGCGGGTGCTTTGGGGACGGAGGGGGGCTGCACCGAGGGGGTGGAGGGGGAGGTAGGAGCCTGGAGAAGGGGAAGGGGCGCCGAGGGAGGCCCGTGGTGGGGGTCAGCACGGCGGCATTGCCCGAGCGAGGGGCAGGCCCCGGTGCTCGGAACCGTTCCGGCGGCCTGCTCGGAGGCGGTGTGAGCTCTGCGTGTCCTTGCAGAAGCGGCACGTTTCCCCCTTGCACCTTTTGGAGCTACGCCTGCTCCAGACCCAAGGAAACAGATCCTCTCCCTGCCCCCCGGCCCTACCGCCCGCATCTCCGTGTGCTGGCGTTTCGGCAGCTTGTTTATAACTATGCCTTAAAAGCACTAAATGCCTTAGGGGAGGGAAAAAGAAAAAAAAAAAAAAAAAAAAAAAGAGCTCTCGGTGTCTTTTAAATGAAAGACACATGCAATTTTGTTGCAGCCTGCAATCCACTTTTATCCCAATAAATGTCCCTCTTTAACGGCAGCTAGTAAACTCTAGGGGAGCCGAGGACGAGGAGCATCTCCTGTGCCCGTGAAAGCCCCAGATCCCAGCAGCAGCAGCGGGGCATTTTCAAGGCAGGCTGAAGGAAGTGCGGGTGCCCGTCCGGGGGCCACCCGTGTCCAGCCGGCGGAGAACAGCCGGCCCGACGGCGACGGGGCTCGCTCCCTGCCCGGCGGCCTCGGCCGGAGCGCACCCAGAGCCTTCAATCCCCCGACCCCCCGCCACCTCCTCTTTCCCCCTCCCCCCCCCGTACTCCCTTGTACCTCCCGGCCGGTGGCAGCGCCTGCAGCGACGGGGATCGGGCTGGGGAGCGGCTGCCCCTCCGCTCCCCCGCCTCGGCAGAGCAAGCAACCCCCCGCAGTCCCCTCCCGCAGCGCCTTCGCCCCGGTGGCGGCTCCGCTCGATGTCGGCCTGTCGCCGTGAAGCGCTCCCCTGCGAGGGCAGCGCCGTCGTTACACCGACGTTTGCACGGTCATCGCCCCGAGTATTAAAAATAGGGACCGTCGCAAATTATAACCGGGTCTTAAAAACAGTCTCCCGCCACCCCAGGAAAAATGAGTAAGTAAGTAAGTAAACCACAGAGCGGTTTCACAGCATTGTTAGCTACAGGGGCCAAATCCTGCTCTCATTTACCTCTTTGCAACCCAGCTGACTTCAAAGGGAAGGAGAGATGTAACCTAGGGGAGAATTGGCGCCACGTATGGCAATCGTTCTCCTTAAAAGCTTGGAAGCAGAAAGCTGACTTCAGCTGGCTAAAACCATTTAAAAAGGGTTGGACAGGTCCCTGGAGACAAGGCAGAAAAGAAAAAAAAAAAAAAAGATTTAAAAAAATCGTGTGCTGAGGTGAGACAGCTTTGAAAAGCATCTTTCTTCAGGGACTGATTCCCTCCGCCAGGCAGTCCGGTTATTAAGAGCAGCGTGCAGATGTGCCGCTGTGTTTCCAGAGATGGAGTATCTCCTAAACCTTCTGTGAAAGGGTGTTATATGTGATGGAGAGACGTTTCGTGGCCAGAGGTGGTGTGAAGGAGCTCGCCCCTGCAGTGCCTCGGGGCTCCTCGAGGGAAGCCTGTCCCCTGGGATAAGCCGGGGGGCGCGCACCGCGGGAGGCTTCCCTGCCCGGTACTCGCGGGCTCTCCCGCGGGAGCCACGGCTGCCTCCCCCCTCCGCTCTCACATTCCTGCCCTTCCTGAGATCAGAAGTTACTGACCCGAATGGAGAAATGAGGATCCCGCATAAATCGCACAAAGTACAAGCGTCTCGCTGCTGAAAAATGAGCGTTTTGGGGAAAGAAACGCGAGCTCGGTGGCGGACCTGCACGGTGCGGGACCCACGCCCTGCGCGGGGTGGTCGTCCTGGGCTCCTCAGTTCAGGCTGCCTCTGCTGCTCTGGGTGCCGGGTCCCAGCCGAAACGATGCCCTTGCATAGCCATGGGATCTAGTCATACTGTTGCATCTACTTAAATAAAGTGAGAATGCCACGGCACCAATGCGGGCGAGGATCTCCCTTCCGAATGCCCAGGAGCCCGCATCCCGGGTCCTTATTCCCATCCTAGTACCGCGTTTTAGCTATGGATATCTGGACACAGAGAAGGAGTTTTTATTTTTGAATTTATTTTGTACCGACACTTCTCTTCCGTCCAGAAAAGTTACAACACGAGAGGGGAATGGGAAGAAATCAACATTACCTGGGACCGGACTAAACGAATTTAGGGGGTATTATTCGCTTCTTTCCGATGTTCTCTCCCAGTTATCCGGGAAAGTGGGAAGGAGAAGCTGTGAAGATGAGAGCGGGATATTTCAGAGGAGTTTTTTTATACAGGGCAGCTGAGGGCTAGTAGGGGAAAAAGCAGAGCTATGTGTTTCCTCGAATGGGTCCGTATATGACAAGAGCTGCGGGGGGGAAGGAGGGTCCAAATAGAGAAATACAAAGGGAAAGGAAGCTCTCAGAGGACAGGTGCCCAAATGGTGCTGCGTTTCCAGAAGCCACCTCTTTCTTTGCCGAGGCTTCACCTAGTCACTCATTTCACGTTCAAATGCAAGTATTATTACTACTACCACTATTATTATTATTGTTGTTGTTATTATTATCAGCTCGGGAGTAGGCTAGAGCAAAACCCACCAAGCAATGAGTGCCCCGGTCCCCATTGCTCGGGAACTCTTGCCCGGTCCTGGGAATGAGCGATCCTATCCGCGGAGGCGGCAGAAAGTGTAAGACCCTCCACGCTCACTCTAAACCCTCCCCCCCCCCCCCCCCCCCGGGGGGATGAAGGCAATCGCAAGTTACAGATTCAAAATCTAGCTCGGCTGAGTTATAATTTTCCAGACATCCTGTTTGTGAGAAAGAATCACTTGCAGCATTATTACTGCAAGCAAAAAATCTGCAATAAATTTCAATGCATACTAAAACAAGTTGGGCTTTGAGGGCTGTTGGGCTTTTTAAGCTTTCTTTTTTTTCTTTTTTTTTTTCTTTTTTTTTTTTTTTAATTGAGCATCCTATTCTAATGAGTAAAAGTAACGACTGTGCTTCGGGTCTCAGCAGCCAAGCTGCAAAAAGGGCCCGATCTGAATCCCGTTTAATAAACTTTCTTACTAAAGGGCAGTTTTTGTTCACCTAAGAAAACAAAAATCGGTTCTGGTGTAGGAGGGTAGCCTTCAGATTTTCCGCTCGGAGGGGAAGTGTTTAATTGACTTTGTTTGGAGTGACTTTACCAAAAGCCTGGGATATGTAGCTTCGCAGATAACTGAAGGCATAGGAGCAAATCGACGGCTCTTCTGCTGGTTAATTCACTACATGGGCAGGGCAAGGGACCGCTGAGTTGCGTCCGTCCCCGGGCAGTGCGCAGAGAAAGTGAAGTGTCGGTTCTCATTACACCGGGCCCGAGCCTGGAGCCTTTCCCAGCCAGACTCGAGGTTCAGACGCTCCCAGATTTTATCCACAAACCAGCCAAAACGTAATGACAGCGATCATTTCACGGTTCCTGCAGTTTGGCGCTTTGACAATACCTCAGCTGTTTGGGAGGTTTCCTGCACGACACCTGCACAGATAAAATGAAGATTTCATGTGCCTCAAAGGCATATGCAGTGGGAAGACAAGCAACTAGTGAACGGGAAGGTTCTCCCGTCCCTCTTCTCCCCTTAAGAGAGACGGATTGCTGTCAGAACTGGACGAACTTCGACAATTTTCTTCTTGCAACACGTAATGAATCTTCTTAAGCCATCTAACGTTTCTCTCAACACAAAATGGAACGAGATAATATTTAGTGTGTGGATCTAATCTTAGCCCCATAGGAAATCTCAGCAGAGATGCTCTATAAAAACAGATTAATCTTTTATCTTGATCTAGTTCAAATTATAATGGAACCTACTTACATATGGACTATAAAAACAAACCCAACACGAATTTAATCTGTGCTTTATCTGGCTGCTATTACAGCCCTTTATCAAGTTTAGAAAGGATTTTGAAAGTTGGGCTGTGGGACTCAAGCCCCATGCACCTTAGCACTGTCGGGGGAGGGGAGAGATTTGCTCTATCGACGTTTCTCGGATCTGCTAGTTGCTCAGCATTTCGTGTAAGAATAGCGTCCTGATTCCCACTCGGGATCATAGAAAAGACAGTCACGGTCCTTCCTTCAGTCGGAGACGGGGGGCTGCTGGAGGGGGCGTCTGTCCCACCTCCTTCACGCGAGGACAAACCTGCTGGCTACAAAGGCCGGGGTGGGGGTGGGGGTGGGGATTGCTCCAGCAGCTGGATGTGCTCTTTGAAATCCAAATCCCGTCCCACCGACCCCCTTCTCCCGCTCCGCTGTGCTTTCCAGCAAATTATAGAGATACACGCAGTGCAAAATACAAACAGCGTTCTGCACATCAAAGAAATAGACGCCTTAGGAGCAAAATGCAAACGTGAAAAAGAAACTCTCTAGCATGTTATGGCTGAAAATTCCTGCTTTTAACCTCCTCCCCCTCCCGGGAATTGATTTCCTATGTGTTTTGTTTTGTTTGTTTGTTTCCCCAAAATGACCTCATTGTGAATTTTAAGTGCAGGAGACGTCTAAGTAACTAACGCTGATGTTTTACCAACAACTCCTCGATCTACCATAGCGAACCAGCCCGGCTCTGACTATGGAGCACTGAGCATTAACGCACCTTTGCAAACGAGCAAGCCAGAAGAAAAGCCCTTCTTTGCAAGCTACGCAGTCTTCCCTGCTGGCAGTTTGATTAATATTAGGACAATTCCGAAAATATACGGGCTACATTACCGGAGCGACCCCGAGGCTCTGAATGTATCGAGGGGCCTGGAGAATGTGTGGGGGGCTCTCTTGTCATTTCAGATGAATTGATTTCTTTTAAGGCATGAAATATGGGTCGACATTCTGGTTTCTAAGCACGAAGCTGAAGGAAGGTGTGAGACAGAAGGGACAGGGTCTAAGAAATAGATCCCTGTTCAGGTTGGAAGCACTAACAAATGGATGCATTGAGCTAACTTTGACAGGGACTGCTGGTTTTCAGGACTGGCTCGTCTGAAAGAACCGTTGCTTTTTTTTTTTTTTTTCTCTTCAATGCGATGTGTGCTAGATCTGATTTTAAAATGTGTAACTCAGCGATGCTGAAAGCCACAGAGCAATTTTGTTCCCGTCTTTCAGCACTCGGCTCTGTACAGTCTCAGCCTTATTTTGTCCTTTGCTGAGAGCTGCTTGTATCTTTCGAAACCTTAGTGTGCATTAAGGAGCATCTATCCCCGAGCCTTTAAACTCTCCGCCCTTCTTACCAGAAACGGCTAGATGAATACAAAAAAGGACTTAGTGGTTAACCGATATGCTGCTAATATTTCATTCATGGGCCTCCCCCTCCTCCCCTCTT